AGCACAGCGGGTAGGGCGTTTGCCTTGCACGCAGCCAACATGGCCGACCCGAGTTCGATTCCTCCGCCCCTCTCGGAGAGCCTGGCAAGCTACCGAGAATATCTCGCCCGCACGGCAGAGTCAGGCAAGCTCCCCGTGACGTATTCGATATGCCAGACACAGTAACAACGAAGTCTCCAATGGAGACGTTACTGGGCCCGCTCGAGAAAATCGATGAACAACCGGAGGACAGTGGACAGTGACTCTTCCCAAAGTGCGCAGCAAGCACCAGGGAGCACGGAGGGTGCCAAGTTCAGCTCCAAGTCCCCACGCCTGTATGTTCTGGTTTTTGAGCCTCATGGATCTTCACCAAGAAAATGGAGTCCAAGAGGTGTACTACCTTGCTCTATCCACAAACCAAGAAAACGACAAAGTCACAGCCTGTTTTTAAATTCCACACCTGCTGCCTTTCCTCCCTCTGGCCACCACTTCAGTTTCAGAAACACAACATTACACCCTAGAACCATTTTCGTCAAGTCAGATCTCCATCTTAAACACAAACAACCAAGTTTTGGTGAATTTAGTCTTTCCCAGCAAACTGACCTTTTGTTAGCTCTGGCCCCCTTCTTCAGTTGTTCTGAAGCCTGTACAGTGTGCGCCTCGTGGCCCCGAGTCTTTTTATTCTCTGAGAAACATATCTTGGCATATTTACAGTGGATATGAACAAACTACTGTCCAGGGCTCTATAATGGCTTTAGGCTGTTCCCACACGCTAATCAACATTCTGGTTCGGTAACGTGAGGGGATCTAAATCTATCCAGGTGGACCGCATCTCAAGTTTTCTCTTGTGTCTTAGGATAGAGAGATACTCTTCAGGTGTCCTAAGAAGTCTATGCAGGCTCAAGTCCAAAGCCTCCCACCTCCAACCCGACCAATATAGGAATTGAAAGAAAATCTACTGCGTGCACCTGCATTGTAAAAAAACATGATACAGAGATTTTAAAAATAACTTTTTATACCACTTGCATGTGGTTGACCTGGGTTCGATTCCTCCATCCCTCTTGGAGAGACCGGCAAGCTACCGAGAGTATCCCGCCTGCATGGCAGAGCCTGAAAGGCTCCCCGTGGAGTATTCGATAAGCCAAAACCAGTAACAACAAGTCCCACAATGGAGACGTTACAGGTGCCCGCTTGAGCAAATCGATGAACAACAGGAGGACAGTGCCACAATACCTGTCCTCCCACCCCCAGCCCCTCAGGTAACCTTAGTTCTATTGCCAACATTCACATTTAAAAAAAAAAATTGTTTCTTCATCAACTTACATTGTAAACAGGGTAAAATCATCCAATACTTCTATTTCTCCATCTTACTTTGCGTCATGGGCTGGAGTGATAGCACAGCGGTAGGGCATTTGCCTTACATGCAGCCAACATGGCCGACTCGAGTTCGATTCCTCTGCCCCTCTCGGAGAGCCCGGCAAGCTACCGAGAGTATCTCGCCCGCATGTCAGAGCCTGGCAAGCTCCCTGTGAAGTATTCGATATGCCAAACACAGTAACAACAAAGTCTCCTGATGGAGACGTTACTGGGCCCGCTCGAGCAAATCGACGAACAACGGGAGGGCCTTTACCTTACCTTTACCTTTACTTTGCGTCATATAACCCTATCAAGCTCCAATTTGCTGTGAATGGGAAAACTTCATTTTTTATGGCTGAAGAAAATTTCACTGTGTAAGTGAAACAAAGATTCTATTTTTGAGCCTTTTATTTTTTATTCTAGATTGTTGAGTTTATTTTTAGTTCCATGCCAGTTTTAATTACTGTCAGTATATAGTTCAGTTTGAAGTCAGGTAATATGGTGTCTCCAGCCTTATTTTCCTTACTCAGGATTGACAAAGTTATTTACTTAAGGTCTTTTCCATAGAAATCCCAATTTTTTTTTCCCTCTCCTAATTCCTCATGAAATATCTTTGGACCTTCGTTTGGGATTCTGTTAAACATAATGCTTTTGGTAAAACAGACATTTTACTACGTAAGATTTCCAGTACCTAGTTTCTAATCAATGTCTTTTAACCATATCTTATAGTTTCTATTACATGGGTCTTTAGCCTCCTTTTAAATTTTTTTGGTTTCTGAGCCACCCTGGCGGTGCTCAGGGGTTACTCCCAACTCTGCTTCCTGTAATTCTCAGGAATTACTCCTGGCGGTACTGGGGATGGCTTACCCACTGTACTATCTCTCTAGCCCCCTCATCTTCTTTGTTAATTCCTAGGTATTTAATTTGAGATTTTAAAAATAGTGCAAATGGAACTATCATCTTAATTTCTTCTCATTCCTTATCTCTATACAGCAATATAATCACCTTTTTTTGGGGGGGGCAAAGTGGGGAGGGCTGTGGGGGGTTTGTACCCTGCAGTGCTCAGTGCTTACTCCTGGCTCTGAGCTCATGGATCATTTCTGGCTGGGCTCAGAACCATATGGGGTACGGGGAATGAAACTCAGGTTGGCAATGTGTAAGGCTAGCATCCTACCGGCTGTCTAATCTCTCCAGCCACTCATCTAACGTTCCAAAAATGATGCTTGGCTGGTCTGAGAGTACTTTTTCTTTTCCAGTACTCACAAACTCTCTTCTCCCAACAAGATTCTAAAACAGATTACTAACAGGTATGGAATCTAAGAGTCAACTCACCGCTCTCTGCCAAGATAGAATTTTCCAAAAGCCTGTCAGAAATGTCAGGTGACTTTTCTCAAAAGCTATGAATGATTGTGCAATCTTACCTGCCAATGTTGTTGTATATAATTTCTTGGTATAAAAATATTAGATTTAATTGAATGGGACTTTTTTTTTTAAATAATCTCAATTACCTTGACTCTAGCTCACCCTGATTGTCCTTCCCCAGTCTTAAAGAAAACATAGAAATATTTCCTTCCCCCTAGACATTCAGTGACTGAAATTAAACTCTTTCTTTTTGCTTTTTGGGTTGCTCCTGGCTCTGCACTCAGGAATGATTCCTGCTGGTGCTCAGGGGACCATATGCGATACTGGGAATGGAACCCGGGTTGGCTGCGTGCAAGGCAAACGCCCTACCCGCTGTGTTACTGCTCCAGCCCCTAAAGTAGTTCATTTTATAGGTCAAAATTATGAGCCTCCCCCCCCCCCTTATGACATTGAACTTTAGAAATGGCCTTTATTATTTATTTTTGCTTTTTGGGTCACACCCGGCGATGCACAGGGGTTGCTCCTGGCTCACGCATTCAGGAATTACTCTTGGTAGCACTTGAGGGACCATATGGCATGCTGGGAATCGAACCCAGGTCTGCCGCATGCAAGGTAAATGCTCGACCCGCTGTGCAATTGCTCCAGCCCCTTTATTTTTTTTTCTTTTTGGGTCACACTCAGCGACGCACTGGGGTCACTCCTGCTCTGCAGTCAGGAATCACCCTGGGCGGTGCTCAGGAGATCAAAGGGGATGCTGGGAATCGAACCCGGGTTGGCCGTGTGCAAGGCAAACGCCCTACCTGCTGTGCTATTGCTCCAGCCCCTAAAATGTAGGCTTTCTAAATTTTAGAATCTAGTCACGATAAAGTTCCTTTACTGCCTATTATTGATTCATATCACATTTTTAACACGGATACACACACACATCCACTTTTAGGATTACAAGCTAACACGGTATATCGGTATAATAAAAAATGAGACAAACGGAGGAAAACCCTAACACTGAAGACCTGTGGTAGTAGCAACCACAAAAAAGACATTCAACAAACCCGAGTAATCCTGACATTTAGGGACCAGACTGTTTGGGAAATAGAGGGGGTTGGAGTGGCTGCACAGCGGGCAGGGTGCTTGCCTTACATGCAGCTCGATCCCGGGCATCAAGCAGGATGCCCAAGCCAGGAGGGAAGGAGGGAAGGAGGGGAGGAGGGGAGGAGGGAAGGGAGGAGGGAAGGAAGGGAGGAGGGTCAGGAGAAGGGAGGGAAGGAAGGGGAGGCAGAAGGGAAGAAGGGAGGAAGGAAGGAAGGATGGACCCTTCCCAAGTGACCCCTGAGTGCTGAGTCCGGGGTAACCCTGAGCTCCGCCGGGTGCCGCTCACCCTGAACCTTCAGACACTGACCACGGCCCCCCCAGACGCCCTCGGACATTGACCACTGCCCCCCAACTATCCTCAGACACTACCACCACCCCCGAGATAACCTCAGGCACTGACCACGGCCCCCCCAGACGCCCTCAGACGCTGACCACGGCCCCAGACGCCCTCAGACACTGACCACCACCCCCCAATTACCCTCAGACACTGACCACGGCCCCCCAGGCGCCCTCAGACACTGACCACCTCCCCCAGATACCCTCAGACACTGACCAAGGCCCCCCAGACGCCCTCAGACACTGACCATGGCCCCCCCAGACGCCCTCAGACACTGCCCACCGCCCCCCAACTATCCTCAGACACTGACCACCACCCCCGAGATACCCTCAGACACTGACCACGGCCCCCCAGACGCCCTCAGACACTGACCACCGCCCCCCAACTATCCTCAGACACTGACCACGGCCACCCAGACGCCCTCAGACTCTGACCACCGCCCCCCAGATGCCCGCAGACGCTGACCACCGCCCCCCAGACGCAGCGCCCGCCCCGCAGGGCCGACAGGACGGCGCGCGGGTGCCGGGGCCCGCGGCTCCCGCGGCGTTTCCGTCCGCCAGGCCGGGCTCGGGGCCCGCCGCCGCCGCGCCTCCCCGGGGGCCCCGCACCGCCCCGCGTCTCCGGCTGGGGCCGCGGCCGCCCCTGCTCGCCGCGTCCCCGCGAAGCCGCCTCACGGACCCAGTCAGGCGCCGCGCCCGCCGCGCATCCCGCCACCGCCGCTAACTTCCACCGACACCGCTGGGGGGGGGGGGCTGGCGCAGGCGGGAGCCCGGAAGAGACCCCCGCGCCGGCCATGCAGCCGGAGGCCCGCACCCCACCCCGGCCTCCAGGAGCGCAGGAGAGAGGCAGCACAGCCCACGGCCAGTCAGACACTCACCCTTCCCCTCAGGTCAGCCCCTCAGCGACGTCGCTCCTTGCCTACTGCGGCCATCTTGGACGTGGAATGTCGGGGGCTGACGTCATCTAGCTGCGTCGGGGACGGAAACGAGCGACGGCGGTTGGGGGCGCGCCCCGACCAATCAGGAAAAAGCCGAGCCCGCAACGGCGGAAGGGGCGGCCGTCTCCTCAAGAGCCCCGCCTCGCGGTCCGCGGCCGTCGCGCGCGGGAGGCGGGGCCGGCCGGGCGCCCCCCCCCCCGGGGCGAGAGGGAATTCGGAAGCAACCGAACCTGCTAACGGAACAGGGCCGCGGGAGGCGGGGCTCGGGGGCGGGAGCGGGGAGGCGCCCGTGCGCCAATCCCAACACGGGCCTGGGCGCCGCTCCGCCAATCAGAGCCCTCAAGCTGGCGGGGGCGGAGCCGGCCGCTCGGGGCCCCGCCGTCCCAATCAGCGGGGAGGAAGCCGAGCGGCCCGGCGGCGGGCGGAGGGGCGTGGCCGCGGGCCTGCGCCCGAGCCGCGGGCCAATGGGCGGCGGCGGCGGCGGCCGGGGGGCGGGGCCCGGGGGCGGGCGGCGCGGGGTTGGGCCGCGGCGGCGGGGCCGTCTCAGGCCGCCGTCCAGCCCCTCCCGTCCGGCTGCCGCCGCCGCCGCCGCCGCCGCCTGGGCTTGGTTGAGGCGGACGGTGGGGTCCGGGCCGGAGCGTGGCGCCGCCGCCGCCGCCGCCGCCGCCGCGCGAAGGTGCTAGCGGGCAGGTGAGTGCCGGCGGCGGCCCGAGCGCGCGCGCCGCCCGTAGCCCTCGGGGCGCACTCGTGCCGGGCCCCCGAGCGCTGGCCGGCGCCCCCCGGGCCGAGCCCCGAGCCCGGAGCCCCGGGCCCGAGCCGAGCCGAGGCGGGGCGGGGTTCGCGGCGGGCCGGGCTGCGGCCCGGGGCCTGCGCCGGGAGGGCGGGTGCGGGCCGGGCCCGGGGCGCCGCCTGGCCTCTGCCCTGCGGCCCTGCCCGGCGCCCGCCCCCGGGACTGGCGGCAGGTGCAGGCGGGGCCCCCCGGGCGAGGCGGGCCCGCGCCCTGCGCCCCGCGCCCCGGCTGTGCGTGCGTGCGTGCAGCCGGCCCCGGCCCCGGCCCGCTTCCTTCCTCCCTCCCTCCCTCGCGGCCCCCGGCGCGGCTCGGCTTCCCCCCTGCGCCCCGCGGGGCTCGGGCCCAGCCCCGGCCACCCCCCACCCCCCCACTCCCCCACTTTCCCGGGATAAAAACAGTCGTTGGAAATAGGTCATCCTTCTTCCCACGCGCCCTGGCCACCTTCCACCCGCCCCGTGCCCTGCTGGGGAGAAGCCGCCCGAGAGCTTTGGAGTTGGTGGTGCGGGCAGGAAACTCTCTTTTCTTTTTTGTCCCCCCACCCCGAGGGCCCGCGCTGGCCCCGGAGGGTGGGGGGAACGACCCCCGGAGCGGCCGCCGTTGGCTGCGGGGGGCGGGGGGCGCACCCCCGCGGCGCGCCGACACGCGCAGGCTTTGCTGTTTGCCGACGTAGGCGGCGATGGCTCAGCCACCGGAGCACTGCTGCCCACGGCTGCGGGGCTGGGAAAAGGTGGCGGTGCGTGGAAGAAGTGTCCCCCCGCGGGCCCGCCCGGTGGGCGACGGCGCGGCCACCACGTGCGTGCGCGGGTCCGAGAGCCCCTGCGGCGCGCGGCCGGTGGCGCGCCGCACCACACCCTCCCTCCCTCCCCCGGGGGTGACCGCTCCGGGGTTGAATTCAAAGCTCCGCTGGCCGGCCGGGCGGCGGGGGTCTTGGGGAGGGGGTTTGTCCAACTGTTGGTCGGCCCCGATCGCAGTTCTCCCCGAAATCAGCGCCGCCGTGATCGGTCCCGGGGGAGGGTGCAATGGACCCGAGATCGAGCGCGGGTTTCACCTTCGCCACCGGGTTCCGGCGAGGCTTGATTGAACCTTGAGACTCTCTGCCCCTCCCCGCCGCTTGGGTGACTGCGGTTCCGCCTGGCCCAGTTCCTCTCGGGGGCTGCTGCTGCGGGTCATGTTTTGGGGGCGGTCCGGCAGCTGAAGGTACCTCCTTTCTCTGGCTCGAGAAAGTAGGTTGCGGCGAAGCCAAAGCTCTCAAGCAACTTCAGAACAACCTTTTCATTGGAACCCCGGACAGCCCCGGTTTCTTCGGCCGCTTCCCTTTCAGGCCTGCCCTCCTTTCTGTGCTCGAAATTGTTAAGTGAGTGTCCAAAATGTAACTCTAGGCCGGACCTTTGAAATGCTTGTGGCCTCTCGCTTCTCTTTTCCATGATGCTCACGTCTCTCCCCGTACTTTTTTTTTTTTTTTCCTTCTCCCCTTCCCCTGGACCAAGATTGTTTGGTTGAGGAGTCAAAACCCTTGACAGTTTCTTTTTGAGTTCTAGCAACGAGTGTGAGACTGTCAGGAAGAAATTAAGGCTTTTTCAGCAGCTCCTCTGTCCTGAGAACAGTAGCCAGATTGAAACGATGAGCAAACCTTCCCTCTCGAAGCCACTGGGAAATGAGATGACAAGCGAGACTGTACTCAAAACATTTTTCCCTTCTAAAGTTCAAGCACTGGAAAACTTTTGTGAAAGCCCTGGGAGACCCGGGGACCACAGCCTGAGTAAAACGTGTGTATGGCGAGGGAGAATGAGGAGGAGGAGGAGGAAGATGACAGCTAGGGGGAAGGACCAAGAGCAACACAATGGAGGCGCCTAGTAACTCTGGCGCATAATTGTTGCACCTTAGGTGCAGAGTTGGTGAGGTGAATGGGCATTGCAGACGCCTGCCTGCCAGGTTCCTCCAGGGGCCTCGGAGTCCTGCTGTGTTACCGCTGATGTGCACATTTCCTTTTTTCTTGTTCCTAATCTGAAGTGGCTTTTGGAAAGTAACTAGTAATTCCGTATCTTCCTCGGCTTCTGCCGGTGATGGTTATCTCTCTCCTCTGGAGGGTGTTTCTGTAGAAACTGGTTTGCTTGTCCCTGGCTGTTCGCCGGCCACTTCTGATGGGGGCGGGAGGACAGTCTCACTACTTCCTTGTGCCCAAGTGCTGGCTTGTTCCCTGGGCCCCTTTACATCAGATACTCTACTCCTGTGACACGAAATCGTTCTAACACCTGTTTTTCTTTCTGCTTCCTTCTACTTAGGCACCTGGGCTTTGTGGCACTTTTATTCATTCCCTCTCTCTGAGTTCACTTTGTATTCAAGTCCTTTATCCTATCAGCGAAGAGTATTCTGATTTCTTATGCACCCTGTTTCTCTCAGTGACTTATGAGTGTCTATACTGGGTGTTAGTTCACCCAGAGACACAGTTAACCAGTGAAGGATTAACTAAGGATTTCTTGCTTTTGATTCTTTTCCTTCACTTGTTGCATTTTCAGGTACACTTTATTTGGCAAAGATTAGCTTCTGTACTTTGGATTTTCTTGTATTATTCCATTTAGGTGTTGGTAACATTGGTGATGTTCGATTTTTTGATCTGCAAATATTAATTTTATAATGTTTATCGCAAAGGGAAAATGAATTTCTAATAACATCGATAAACACATTTTTTTACTGTGGGGTTGGAACTTTTGTATAAAGTCACTTAGTAGTCTTGTTGAAAGAAAACGTAATGACCCGACTTGGCACGATTAGGAGGTCTGGTTTTTGTTGTTAAATTCACCCAGTAACTCAAGCCAGAAATTAGCTGTGCAGACTCCAAGGTCTGGGAAATAAACAACATAAAACTAGTGGCCCAGCCACTGGTATTGGTAATTCTCAGCCAGGATAAAATTCGAACAGGCCAAAAAAAATAATCCTAAATGACTCCAACATTTGAACAACAAAGGAAAAATTTTCTAACTCTTTCCAGGTAGAAGTTAATTAATAATCAAGGTAAATCCAGATATTCTTGCCTAACCACAGAAATCAAGTCTTGACTGTAAGGTTTAGTTTTTTTTTTTTTTTTTTTTTTTTTTGGCTTTTTGGGTCACACCTGTTACTCCTGGCTCTGCACTCAGGAATTACCCCTGGCGGTGCTCAGGGGACCATGTGGGATGCTGGGAATCGAACCTGGGTCGGCCGCGTGCAAGGCAAATGCCCTACCCGCTGTGCTATGGTTCCAGCCCCAAGGTTTAGGTTTTGAAAGGATCTGAGTGACTCTGATTACCAACACACAGTCATTGTTCCCTCTCTCTGGGACAGGGCAGGGAGAAGCGCTTTCTTTGCCCCTTAGATGGGCGAAAATTATCAAGAGAGTGTCAATAATCAGGCTTTTTGGCCACCTACCAGACTGTCATCCGGAGCGCCCCCCACTTTTTTTTTTTTTTTAACAGAACAGGATTTAGAATTTATCAGAAAATCTCTGAGCAAGTCTTCTGGCTAACTGGCCTAAAAGACCTCAGAACAGGCTCGCGGCTTCAGTGTCACTGGTTTTCCGCTGCCGAGTAGTGCCGAGCACTACTCTTGAGAGAGTGGAGATTTAGTGTTGAAGGATCGGCATTAAAATTGCTCCCGCCATAGCACGTTGCTGAGGACGGGACGTTCTTCGCCTGCTGTGATGCTTGTGCATTGCTGCTGGTCACCTAAGTGACTTGCAGAGGCTTTTGACCCAGGCCACACTCTCTAGGCCACTGCTTTGTATTTGGATGGGCCGGGAAAGCAGTTCTATAATTTGAGTTCTTCACACTGTGTTTTTACTACTCTAAGTGACTGGCTGGTATTTCGAACATCAGAGATAACAGTGACCCCTTGGGAACTTTTATGACTATGTGGGTTTTGAGCAGAATCCAAGATACCCTACAGAGTGCGAGTACAGTTAACTACTGACTCGGGGCTGGGGGTAATGGGCCCCCGGTGAGTCTGTTATTGTGCACAAACTCACCTCTCTGACCTTTCTCGAAGCTTCATCGGCCCATGGGCGTAATAGACCCCGTACCCTTGGTGTGAAAGGCTTAGCAGAGTTCCACGTAGGCTAACTATCCCAGCAGCGGGAAGAGAATGTTGGGGGTGCACCGGAGAGCTGCAGGTGGGATCCGGTCGTGCCGTTGGAGCCGTTGAGAAGCGGCAGGTTTTAGTGGGAAACGCCTGTGTTGGGTTCCAGCAGCACAGAGGCGTCAGTGTGTCCAGGGCACCCTGAAGGCCATGGGACACTTGTCGCTCTGTTGTCCAGGAATGCTGTGCTGAAGGAAGGGCCCACACACTCCCTCGCCTTCTTTTTGGGTCACACCCGGCGATGCTAAGGGGTTCCTCCTGGTTCTGCACTCAGGAATTACTCCTGGCGGTGCTTGGGGGACCCTATGGGATGCCGGGGATTGAACTTAGGTTGCCCGCATGCAAGGCAAATGCCCTCCCCGCTGAACTGAGACCCAGGAAGGCTGGAATCACGGGCCAGAGAGCTAGCACGGCAGGGAGGGCACACTTTTCTTGCTCGAGGCCTACCTGGGTTCAATTCCCGCCATTCCGTATGGCCCACCAGGAGTGATCCCTGAGCAGGGCCAGGAGTTCCTCCTGAGCATTGCTGGGTGTGGCCCCCAAAACAAAACAAAACAAAACAAAAACCCCCGGAAGGCAGGAATTGCCTTCCGGGAGCACGGGGAAGCATTTCCGTTGGCTGACAAGCAAGCTTGTAAAGTGAAGTTTATTATGTTCATTCCGAGAAGTCCTCAGGGACTCAGGATGCATGGAGAAGGATTGGGGGTGGTGTGGAGTGACACTGATCTGCCTCCGGAAATGGTCAATCCAAGGCAGAGCTGGGCCAGGCCGGGCCGGGCAGGAGGAAGGA